TTTATCTGAATGATGTTATAAATCTCATTTTATCTGAGTAGGGCTGGACTGTGCACAGGCTGCATACATGCTGTTCCATATCCGTGTTTCTTCTCTGTTCTCAAACAGCTGTTCTCACCCTATACTCGCTAGCCTGCCAGATGTTACAAATCCAGGGAAAGCATGGAGTCACATTCTCCCTCAGCAGGACTTATTCATGACCAGCTTGAGACCTGCTGTTTGGTCTAACGCTTAACCTGGATTTTCTAGTAACTTATCAACTAGGATGACAAAACAGGAGGTTAAGAACTCATTGTTGCCAGCAAGACTGATGCTGGAGATGTGATCTGATACCCTGATCTCAAGTGAAGTGGCCTCAAGATCACATGTATAATAATTACTGATGCATGTATGATCACTAATGACAGTCAGGCTTCTCAAAGCACTGGGCAGAGACCCTTTGGATCATTCTTAGTTCTTCTGACTCTCTCATAAAAGTCTAATTTCCTTAATTAAATGTAGCACTTAACATTCTTCAGCATATGCATTCAATTTCCTTTATGTATTGTTCGAAACGGGACTACAAGAGATAATCACATTGAAAGTTGATCTTCTGTTTTAACTGTGCTTAACTCCTCTCCCCAGCATCTCAGTCACTGGAAAACTCCAAATGACTTAACTGGTCTCCAGATTATCTCCAGCAGTGTGGAGAAGTGCTAGGCTGGGAGACATTGAGGACATTTGGTTCATGTGTTTTTAGTGATGTTTTTAGTGATATAATGTCCAATCTTAGTTATTTTGTGCTGCTGTTTGGTGAGAATTCATGAATGCAGGAATGATTAGAAGGCTTACGAGAAGAATTAAGTCACTGGCAGTCATCATAACTCCAGCTAAGAAGTAAGTCATAGGAATAATGAAAGATCCAATAATTTTATGATAATCACTTGGCTAGGTTTGCTAAGACAGTCTTTTTCATGGATGGTATGAGATCAATTGATACAGTGCTGTGTAGCAATGTTAGAATGACAAAGGAAATCTCAGTTTGCTGAGACACTGTATCTGGTTTAAGCTGATCTCATAGAGCACATTTGCCAAATTTTGATATTTACTGTATTAAAAACTCACTCCTTTGACAGGGAAACTAGCTTGTCAAAGGATCTTGAACGTTTTTTCAGGAGCCCATATTAGCCCCTTGAAACTGGGGCAGTCCTCGCAGGGTTGAGTGAAACAGCAATTGTTGGGTCATTGCCATGTTCACATTCGTAATGGTGTGTTTAATTAAACAAACTAGGCAACACACTCACTTCAGGAACACAGGAAGCATCAGAGTTTCTCATGTGGAAAACAAGTTTAACCTGAAAGCTTTCAAGAAATATTGCTAGTAATGTGGGCCAGGCCAGACAATGTTGACAGACCTTCATATTGAAACCTCCTGGCCACACACTGCAAACCTGCTGCAAACTTTCACAGCAGCATCACAAGTTGTCTGACATCTGGTATTTTCAGCACCTCAACTTTGAGTCATATTATTATGAGAAATTTTTTTAAAGTCCATTTTAGACTTTGTGATCAAAGAAAAGAGTTTGAAAACACAATCCATTAGATCTCAAAAGCAAATAAGACCCCATTTTTAGGTATTTATTTATTTAAATACCACAATTGTTAAGGAAATCTCATGACCTGTGGGACTGTGTAATACTTACTGTTTCCACGCATCTTTGATTAGGAGGGTGAAAATACAAATATTCCATGATGCCAGACTCCCAGTACTCTCTTCTGGGTACTTGGGAAAATGTCTACAGTTAAGTAAGCATTAAGCAGAAATGCTTGAGAAGTCTCTGAAGGAACCAGCCCTGGAAACAAAATCAGTGTAGATACAAATCCAAGCAGTACTGAGCTCAGACTGTGCTGTTTTGAGTGTCAAGTTGGCACTTCTACATAGCATGGGACTGTGCTATGCCAAGGTACCAGTTCATCTGGAACTTCTTTGGGTACCTCAGACACACTATTGCCTTGCTTAGGGTTGGCATGTCTGCAGTTTTGAAAAGCCCTGGCTACTGTGTAAAGCAAGACTGTTTGTAAATACTGCTTGTTATTCATTAAGACTCAGGAGCAATGCGTGTTTTTACAGAGCAAAGTCATCATTAACCCTACTTTTGACTGTACTGAATCTGCATCTTTTTTACTCTGCATTTGTTCCGAGACATCTTGCTTGATTTTCTCCCAGCTCCAAACCACATGAAAGGCAAACTTCTTCATTCTCTGGGCATTTGTATGAGATGTGAGAGAGTCAGGGCAAGATTCCAGATCATATTGATAGGGGATAATTTGCTACAGGCATAGGCCAGCTGAAACCAAAATATTTTTTTATGAATAGTATCATGGAAAGATGCAAAGTCTAAACTGAAATTGAGTCTCTTTCAAAATCTGTTATTAGCTGTGGATAGAAGTTTAAAAACCATATTGTTTTAAAGGTAGTACAGATTTCATCATCAAAGTCAGTTGCTCAGTGTTGCTCAAAACTCTTGAAGGACATCCTTTAAACTGTTGTTGTGTATTTCGGCTGATTAAAAAAAAAGACAAAAAAAGATTAATCATCTCCTAAAGTTCCTTTCTTTTTCCTCATAGTTTACTATTTTATATTAAAAGGCAGAAGCATGGTTTAACTTAAGCTGGATTCTCATCCAACAATATGTGTGTAGATTAGAAGGAGGAAATGCTCCCTATCCACAGAACAATAGATTACTTGTTTAAATTACATGTCTTAAAAAGATCCTGATTCGGCTTTACTGAGCATAAAATATTAAATTTACTGTTTATTTTTAGTGGATTGCTGCCAGTTTTCTTCTCCCTGAATGTCTTTAGATTGTTTAAAACATTAAAAAATGTTCACATCAAACATATATCTACTTACAAGAAATCTCTGTTGGTCTCTCAGCAGAGACGTAAAATCTTGTTGTTGGGATGTGAACTTGGCTGTTATGGAATTTTCCTTTCTTTATTAGCTTTATGGCTTTTCTCTTCTTTTTTTTTTCCTCTAAGACTGCAAGTGTGGCAAATTATTTTGTGCTAATGTTGCTTATTAAATCTTCATAAAGTGAGAAAAAGGAATCCAATGAGAAAGCTTTAGATGCCTCTTCAAGTGTACTAGGTTGTTTTGTTCTGTTTAATTGGCAGCAATGTTTGAAACCCTTGACCTCATCCTTGCAAAAATGTTGTTAGTTATATTTCCTGCAAAAATGGTGATAGGCCTGATCAGCTCCATGGGTACAAATGAGAAATTAATTGTGTCATTGATATCACTTTGGACTTGCATCTTTGTAACCTGAACCAAAATTGGCCTTTAGGACACATCAACACAAAATACAAGGTGGTGCAGACTCTGTAGCTGCAATTGTATTTTCATAAATAAAAGGTTAAAAAGTCAGGCATATGTGACAGATTTTTGGGACCAGGTTAGTGTAGCATGTCTGGTGACACTTGCAATGTTTATTTGCCTTCTGTTGAAAGGGATATTCAATATTATCTTTGCAAATCCCCTGCACAAAGCAGTGCACTCCAGTGCTGAATGGAGTGCTCAGCATGAAATGTTGCTTTTACTGCAGGAGTGGTAGGTGCCCCATACAGGGCCTTCTCTCTCCTCTCGGGAGCACCATCTCTACAGGGAACGGGGCACCGACCCCGAGCAGCTACAGCAACATACCGTGCCTGAGCAGTGGGCTCCAAGTGTTCTTCAGCTGTCAAGTTGTTATTCAGGGCTAAGGAACAAACCAGCTCTTTACTGGAGGACATGCAACTATTACAGCAAGGATCTGGACTCATTCTGTGACTGTAAGGTGGTTACTCAGAAGCTGCATCGCTGCCTTTTGACCCTAAACCACTTTCTCTAACACCGAGGATTGTACTCACCTGAGCTGTGCTGCCTGCCTCTATAATTAGCTTTTCTTTTCTTATAAGGGATTAATGACTTAGGGTTTCATTTGTTTATTTTTTTATTATGAAAGAGTCCTTATTAATGGACAGTCCTCTACCTTGCTGGGATAGAGATGAGGGAAGGTGCTTTGAAGGGATTCTGCAACAAAAATATTTGCAGAAAAGAAGAAATCTGAGATTGTATTTGCCTGCAGAACTGTAGTCAGGAGTAAAGAATTAAAGGCTCTCACTTTCAATGCATTTAGTCTCTAATACAACACAAAACACCAAAACATAAATGCACTATCTCCTACCTGACTTTTGACAGCTTATAATGAATGAACGTGCTGCAGATTGAAATGTCACATTAATGTACTTCAAAATAAAGAGTGAGTTCTATCAGCTTTATTCAATATATTTCTATCTGTGTCTGAAGTACAGAACAATCCATTTTGCTTGGAAATACATTTGGAAGTGGAAGAAGTTGAAATGTGTGTTATTTGTAGATATTAATATAATACATTTTTTTCTTTTTCTCTCTTCATTCCCAAAAATAATAAGTGGAAGATAGACTAGGCTATGGCTTAGGAATTGCAAAGACCTGGGAAATATAAGTGTAGGAAGTCAACTGGCTATTTGAATGTGACATTTGGAAACTTTATGTACAGACAAAAAAGAAAGGGCGTTGAGAAAATTGCATCCATAATGTTTATGGAATTTTTGGTCCATTTGTGGATTAAAGGTACTTTATGAACTGCTAGAACTTTGGTCAGTGAAGCAATCCTTGATTATAGTTTACTTATAGGAAAAGACTATGGGATCAGCTTTCTGAGGAACGTGCTTTATGAATGTTTTTCTGGGCCTATCATTCTGTTAATAATGAAATATGATGATAACTTCAATGCTTCCATTGCTCGACAACAGCTTATTTTAATGAGGAGCACAGATGAGGTGATTTTGTCTGTGTTGCATATACATCTATGAGCATATACATATATGCATATACATATATTATGAGACATAACAGGATTTTTATATTTTGCACTGTCTCTCATTGTTTCCATCCTTGTCTAAACTTTTTTTTCCCCTTTATCTTATGTAACTTGTAGATGTTCGACTGGATCAGCCACAACAAAGAGTTGTTCCTGCAGAGTCACACGGAGATCGGTGTGAGCTACCAACATGCCCTTGACCTGCAGACCCAACACAACCACTTTGCCATGAATTCCATGGTGAGTTGAGAGCATAATGTGAACAACACATGAGGGAGTACAGGGCCTGCACAGGGGGCCACCTCCAGTTCAGAGAGCACGGTGGAACTGTGAAGGGTGAAGTCAGGAAGGTCAGGCTGGGCTGTGGCAGCAGCCCTCATTCTGCAAACAGTGTTGCTCTGTCCACCCAGACGCTGATACATGATTATTTCCTTGACATAAGTTCAGCACACTTCTGTGGAGTTAGTTTACATTTTGGGGAGAAAATGCAATATTTTTTAAGCTTTGACATTTCTTTGATGGGGAATTATTGAGAGCTATAGGTGGCACCTTAATAATTTATGTTTCTACACTCCTACCCTGTTAAGGTACTTTTTAGAACCTTGAAAAAGAGACAATAATCAAGCTGTCAATTGTGGCTACAGTAGGATTTTGCCTTTTTCAATTATTAATCAGGCAGAATTTTTGAATGCAACTAAATTTACCTTTTTTCTTTTAAAAAAAAAAAGATCATCACTATACGTTTATAAGTACTTTCCTCATTTTCTTATTCCTTCCAGGCATAAGGTGTTTCTTCTGGAAACTGCTCTGCTTTCAGCACAGAAATGAGGACAGTGTATTGATGTTTTGATTGTTGCAGTGGGTTAGAAAGATGCACGTATACCCCCTGCTGCAATTGCACAGTGCAGAGATAAGCCCTCTCTGAATGCTCCCTGCCAAGTACACCAAAGCTTGCCCTCAGTAAACCAGCTCCTACAGGTGAACCTGCTCATGCTCTGCATGGTCAGGCTACAGCTGCAAGGAGCTGAGACCTCAGAGGTGGTGGTTGATGTTAAAGTTGAAGGTGTAAATCACTGGAGAGCCACACCTGCTGTGCTGCTCAAGGACAAGGTACTGGAGAGCAGTTGTCTGAAATGTGAAAAAGAGGTCCTGGCTGCCTGAGGTTGTTAAAACCACACACGGCTTTCATAATGCTACAGGCATTAAGCTTGGTATTCCAGCCAAATTCCAGCTTGAATTCCACCCCCCATTTGCACCTAGCTGGCTATTCTCCACTTAAAGCACTGTGCCCCACTAGGGCACTGCATAACAGTGGGAGATGAATAAATGTTTATAATGCCTATTAATGTATTTATTGTGATTATATCTGAAAGAAGCACTGAAAACCAGGCTCTAGGCACTGATTTATAAGCTTGCCCTCACAGTGCCATCTAGCAAAATACAGGATGGCACTGTCTCCATATAACACTTGCTGCTCTGAGAGTCCTAACAAATAAATGTGTCCTGGAGGTTAGTATATTAAAATTCATTTGGCTTATGAAAGATGCAAAGTTAGTCATAATTCTTCAGAAAACGCCAATAAACAGTCAAGCCATGGAATTTTCCTTTATTCTTTTTTTGTGGTACTGGATGGTATTATTTTCTTAAAATAGCTGGAAATTAAGCTTGGAAAGGGATCATTGCTATTAATAGAAAATTAACAAGTGACAGGAATGGTCCACCTAATGGAAGAAAAATTATTTTCCCCCATTCTTATTCCATCTGTCCCCAAGTACAGTAAGAGATGATGCCCAGTTCTGCCCTGTTTAATGGGACTGAAACATACAGGGGAATCCAAAATGTAACAAACGTGCCAAACCCTATGTACGTTCTTAGATAATCCTATGTTCTTAGATATTCCTATAGGAATATAAATAAAAAAGAGCAGTACAGCTGTATTTAATTTTTATATGCTATTTTTTGTTTAGCTTTAGTTAAATATTAGACCTGGAATCCCCTCTGATGATGGGGTGATGTCTTCTGTTTGGTTTTGGATCAACATCATTCATACAGAAAACAGGAACAGTTTATTCAACTTAAATTTCCATTTTAAAATTTCTTGTGATACACTTTCTCAGTAGGAACTTTTTTTAAAAATTGTTCAACAGATTTCAGTTGTCAAAGAGAGATTAGATAATGAGTTGTGGTATTGTTACTGCAGTGTGGCAAAGTCAGGTTAAAAAAGGCTACAGAAATATTTCAGGATACAGAAGCAACTCAGGCCTATATTTTTCTTTTTTTTTTTTCCTTCCTTTTTTTCCCCCAGTCTAAATGAGGCCTCCATGGTATTTTTGGCAATATCAGAGCTTTACTCAGTGATTGAAATTCCTCACAATCAAACAGGTTTTTAAAGACTTTCCCTGTTGCTGAAAGGCCTGTATTTGGGTTGTGCTTCTGCACAACATTTCAAGAGGGTATTTCAATGCTGGGGTTACACAGGCTGGCATGTGAGGTGAGTTTTACAGCCTGAAGAGTGGAATTAAACAGGACTGTGGAATTAAACAGGGCTGTTGTCCTGCAGAAGGCTGGGCATCCTATTTTTGAAATAGCTGATGTGGGGATGTATCAAACTGAAAGGATATTTGGAAAATAGTGGGAAAAGTGTAATAACCCTAAGCTGCAGCTACTTGAACTAAACTGAAGCTGCTGCTTTTATGTCAGCAGTGATGTACTTTTTTTTAGACGGAGAAGATTCTTTGCTAGAAAAATGTGGAGTGAGTCCCAGTGTCTCCGCAAGACAGCATTGTGAACATGAGGGTATTGGCATGCAGGAGACATCACTTTGCTGCATTAGAGTGTTGAGCTGCATACTAGTCACTCCACAGGTGGTAAAGCATGCAGAAAGAATGAGAGGAGTCTGAAACTAAAGCAACCCTTTCCTTTCTTATTTTTATGGCGACATCTTAGTTCACTTGTTCATGCTGCTGTTTGATTTCTGTTGGAAAACGACTAACACATATTATTTGGTGATATTTATATTTCAGTAAGAGTAGTAGGTTTAGGCCACTGTTACACTTAGGTGCTGTACACTTTCAGAGGAAGAAATGGTCTTTGCCTTGCTGTCGGTTCCCAAAGGCTCTGCTTCTACAATACTGATATACATAAAATACTTTTGCATATAGAGAATATTCTTGCATTAAGGATGGCTGTATGTTTTGCAGGGGAAAACCCTACAAACTTCAGTGGAAGTTGGATCTAATCTTAGATTTCTAAGGTGTTTTGTTTTGATTGTGTTTGTTGTTGTTTTTTTTTCTTTACACTGTGCCTAGTGTCCTTTAAGCCTGGCATAACTAATAATAGTTAAAATATTGTCTTCAGTTCCTCTAGAAAATACACACTCCAAATGTTTATTGGGTCATGCTTTTTGTCGCATGATCTTCCCATACATCTCTATAGGCATGCTGTGACCAAAGCTCCTGCTTGGAAAAACAATTTGTTGCTCTGTTTGTTACAATAATAATTCTTCCTTTTAAATGATCAATGTGGGATGTGGGGAAATCATATATTTGAGGTAATAAACTGTAGTGTGTTATTTTTCTTTCAAATAAGGACCATAGATTATTTTTTTTCCCTGTGATTCAAGGCAGTGCTTGTTTTCACTTCAGTTTCAAAATAAATTATGTTAGTCTTTATCACAGCTGTATAATGTTTATACTAAAGCAATAATACTTTTCACAAGGATGAATATTTAGCTCAGACCTTTTTTGAGGAATATCAATAATCTAATAAATCCACTAGAGAACAAAACCCTGGTGTTTTGATATGGCACAAAGCAGACTGATTGTAGCTCTGCACCTGGATACATGGTGTATGTGCCATTTGTTCTGAGTAACTGGAGTTATTCCTGTTGCTTTTGCCTGGACTTTTTTATTCCTGGATCTATTAACCTCCTTAAAGAATGACTTCCAGCTTTCTGTGGGGAATGCATAAAAATGGCAGCATTCAGAGCTGTCATTGCTGCCTATCCTGCTGCCTGACACTACATGGACACCCATGCTGTCCTAAGTCACAATATATTTCAAACACGTTACAGTTATCATGTGAAGGCTAATAGTGTCTGTTGAAAATTCCCAACATCTGTCTTAAATGAATGGTATTTTTCTGTATGTAGGCAGAGCTAAAATGCCATCCAATATTACTCTGCAATAGGCTACATGTAATGGGCCTTGTTATAGAAACTTAAAGGTCTTAAAAGATATCTCATGAGGTTTTTTTGTCACTGAAACATTCTGCTTTGGAGTTATGTGTTAGGTTCATTTCACATATGGTTTCTAAACTCACAATAACACAGTGTAAACTGGTTATTTTTAAATTTTGTTTTAAAGAACAACTCAACAATCAAATTTCACCTTCAATTAATCTGCAAAACCCTTCTCTAGCAGCCCACCTTTGCTGCTTGCCATCACAACATCTCAACTAGTTCTCTAGGAAATGAGATGAACACAGCCAAATTCCTTGCAGATTTAATGCTTCTCACTCCTCATTTTTCTTTTGTGAGTGTAAGGTATTCTTTTCATAAGTGTATCATAAGAAAGTATTGTTCCAGCTAGGGTTGGAGGGTTTAATTAAGAGGGAAGGTCCCCCAGCATGCCTGCGAGATGATCAGGGCTGAATTACTGTATTTCCCTGTGGGAGATCATTCCACAATTGAAACTCCGCTACTGTCAGTGCTTATTGCTGAGACTGAGGGCTCTTGTCCTGCCGTGTGCTCGGGACCTCAGCAGCGCGTGCTTGTGCTGCGGGAACAGCTGCGTGACACACACTGCTGACCAGACTCAAGGCCTTGGTTGGGCAGCAGCAATGGGCTAAGAATCGGTGCACAAAGAGGGGTATGTTCACTTGCAAAGCACTGCACAAGGCCTTCCTAAACTGTAAAAGAAACTGTTATGCATCATGATGCCAGTGTACGTGTGGGGGAATTTTTATTTTGTTTGCCAGTCTGGTGATTTTTAGAAGGCAAAAATCCCCTTTTTTTGACTGAAGTTTCAAAGCTGAAATAAAGTCAATACCAAATTAACTCCAGCATGTGGAGTGCTTTTGGAAAGTTTGCAAATACATGTAAAATAAAGTTTTTTCCATGATGAAGGATATATATTACCCAAACATTTGGTCTATCCTAGTGTCATGACTACAGAATGTCAACTGAAGTGCTTTTATTTCTATACATCAATATATTGTTTTCTAATTGTTTGACCTACTGTGGTCCTATGTAGCTTTGCAGTCCTTTCTGGGGACACCTCTATTTTGAAAAAAAGGTGAGGCCTCAGATTAAGTTTAAAGTGAGACTCTTCATGCATCTGATGAAGAAGATTTTCTGAGCCTAAAGGAAAAATAAAGACACAGACATTAGTCGCTCTATGTAATTTGTATCATATAAAGATAAGAAGATCTATATAATAGTGACATAGAAAAAAAAAAATCTCAATTCACTCAGTTTTTAGAGGTGAACAAACCAGAGGGAAAGGAAGGTTTAACTTTGTGAGATGTCGACAGTTGAATTTTGTCAGCATAGATTTTCCATTTTACTCAGACCATTACACATTGGCAGATAAAGACCAAAAAAAGGCACTTAACAATCTTGTACTTCTTCAAGGTGGAAAAGAAATGTCTTGCATTTTGTGAATTGTGGTCAATTAAATGTTTTTCTCTTGAAAGTAAATTATGGAGTGCCTTGAAGCCATACTGCATTTTATATCAATCTGCAACAGAAACCCGTATCTTCCAGTTTTTCCCAGGGATTTCGTCTTTTCCAGTAATAGTGACATTGAGCAAACGTCCTGAAATTGTAAAATGTCTAGTAGGATGTGCTATCCTGAGTTCCAGTTCTTCAGCCAAATCTTTGCTCTATCATGTTTTTCTGTGAGACCTTGAACAAATCTTGTGTGTCCAAACCCCACTTCAGTGTCTCTGCATCACTGAGATGGGATAAAAAAAATGAAGATAAAGAGTGCATGTGTCAGGAAAGTGGAGGTATCTCCACTGAATGACTTTTTGGAGCTACAAAGAGCACATCCTGGTTGATACTGGATTGGAATGCTCAGAAACTCAGACTTGTTCAGAAAGGAGCAGGGGAAGCTCAGGGCTCTCTGTTTCCTGAGCCTGTTCCACTTGGTGCACTAAGAGTGGAGGTGTGAGCAGGTGATTCCCAAACTGCTCCTTGCTTTCTGCTGACAAAGCTATGGAGTTAGTGAATTGGTACCCTTCCATGAAAAATTCTCATATAGGAAAGAAATTTCATCCTCATCTCTGTATAAAAATACAACAGACATAAAAAACTAAAAATGTCTCTGACTTAAAAAACAGACTCTCAGAACATCTGATGTAGTTCAACTAATGTTACCTTTACATTCCTGCTAGTTAACATGTCTATACACCAAGGAATTCACAGTTGTTTTCCCATTGCATTGCAGTGGGAAAGATAATTCTGCAAGGAAAAAAAAATAAAATCAGGATGAAAGCAAACATTCTTTACATGAAATCAAAAACTTCTCCAGCAATTTTTCTTTTCCTTCAAGCACAGCAAAGTTCCATCTCTTTTTTTGACACAACTCATCCAAGTTTTAGCAACTATAGTGTAGCAGTGCAGTCATGCTACTTTGCTTTCCACCAGAAGGACTGACCTGAAATATTGCAAAATGATCTTGGTTGAGGCTTAGTCATGAAGACTTTCTGGGAAAAAGACTTAAATATTTAGTCTGAATTCCAGTTTTTAACCTAGAGGGACACAAAGAAGTGTTTGACTATGGCTGGTGGTTAAAATTTCAAATCAGAGTATCTTTCTTTAGTGTACCTTAAACTCCAGAATAATTTTGACTGGTTTCTCTAACTGTACTGGAAAAAAAGAAATTCTTTAAAATTAATCTGCCAGTTTTAGGGCCAAGTCCAATTTTTAAGAAAAGGCTTTGTGATCAGGGGAAAAAACACAACTGAAGGCTGAGTATTGCTTTAGATTTGTGTTATTGAGGTGGCAAGTTTCACAATCATGGTTTTACCAAGGAGAGCAGAGTGGCTGTATGGGGTGTGGCTCCATCCTTTTTCCCTTTATCACCTACAGGTATGATGAGTGTACTTCATAGTTATCCCTCACACTTTGCAGACATACTTTGCCCTGTTTTACAACTTAGTTTGGAACTGTGCCTGACTTGGCAGTGCTCTGTTGTGTTTCATGTTTGGATTGGCAGATACCTTTCCACATTGTGCTCCCACTCACTATGATGAGATCCTGCTCCAACATACACTTCCATCTCTGATTTATTATTTGCCCATGAGTAATACTGTTAAAATCATCAGGGCTGTTGTCTGTCCTTGCACATAAGGGTCTTACAGATTCTAGTCTCAGAAATTCCTAAAGCCCTTTTGAAATACTTCAGTGAGACAAGAAAGCAGCAGTAAGTCAACACTAGCAAAACATCTGAAATTCTGAGATGCTCCTTTCATCTGGTGAGGAGGAAAGAGAAAGGAAAAGTGCTTACATCAAATGACATTCCAAAAATGTGCAAAACAGCTGTCATTTGTCTTTTGATGGTGCATCTTTGTAAGACATTGTCATGATGGCTATTTATTTTCAGCATTACATTCCTATGCAGAATGGGGATATTGTAATGCAATTATATTGCTGTCCACAGTTCAGTTTGAGAAAAAACTGTTCCTCCACTTCTTCAAGGATGAATAAAAACTGTAATGGAAAATTCTTATGAAAGAACAGAAAATATTACCCTTTTAGTAGGCTTTTTGAATCCTTCTAAATGCAGAGTGAAGTTAAATAATATCTCTGCTAGAGAACAGCTTAAAATAGCCTGCAGAAAAGATAACATTTTAACTGAAGCCTATAATGTAATAGACATTTCTATGGAAACACTTATATGTCTATAGAATATCCTTATGAGCTCTTTTAAATTCTGTGAGACTTTTCCATTTGTTGACACTGCATGTCTATAAAGGATTATCAGAGAGTTCTCAAAGGACAGAAAGCAAACATTTTACTTATGAATACATGGATATAGCATCCAGATATGTAAAGTAATGCAACAGAAATAATAAAAACGTAGAAACAATGAGTAGACCCTAACAGGGGAGTAAATAGGTGAAGTATGGCAAATTAGTTTTACATAAATAAATTCAAGTAGAGAAGGGGAGATAATAGTGTTAGATAATGGCATAGATGAGCAAAAAGATTCCAAAGGGATGTATTTTTAGAGTGGAAGGTAGTATGCCTGCTATTCTCGCATATTTAAGCAGGTGCTTGATTGCTCTCGCTGAACTGCTTGGCTTTACTCCAGCTGATGGTGTTTGGAATGTGTAATGAAAGCAGAGGGTAGTCACAGTTCTTCCTTCTCTTTATTTATGTGTGCTTTTTAATTTTCAGAACGCCTATGTCAACATCAATCGAATCATGTCTGTTGCGTCAAGGCTCTCCGAGGCAGGCCATTATGCTTCCCAGCAAATTAAACAAATATCCAGCCAGCTGGATCAAGAGTGGAAGAGTTTTGCTGCAGCTCTGGATGAGCGCAGCACCATCTTAGCCATGTCTGCTGTCTTTCACCAGAAAGCTGAACAGGTGAGTTGCTTTTGTGAGTGGCAAAACGATCACTGCTACGTCGATAATGATGATGCTGCAATTATTACTTGATGACTTTTGGCTTATGTGTGGAGGGGTTTAGAGCCTTGTTCCTAGTGGCTCAGTCTCTCAAAAACAAATAGTAACATTTCCACCCCAAAAACGGCCCATGTTCCCTGGTGGGTAAGAAATTATGTTTTCACTTTAATAATGAGGAGTCTGATCATGAATGAAGTACAATGGTGCAATAACAAGCTGTTTTGTTTCTATTGCCTAATATTTCGTTGGTGCTGTGGATAAATTCAGGATTATTATGGTCAGGAAGACAGTATGTGTCTGCACCCATATGTATATGTGCTATGTGCCCATAGGAATGTTCACACATAGGACATAGATCCATACCAGCAGACAATTTCTAGGAGCTAAAGAACATTATTGTTAATGAAACTTGCAGAATTCATTCTAACACTTACTCTTGCAGTGCGCTCCATAGCCCCAGACTTTATTAGACCTCACTAAGTAAGAGATTTCAGAAACAGGAACATCCAAGAAAATTTTCCATGTCCATGAACTCTGGTTTGTGTCTTTAAAACTACCAGAATGATTCCATAATTCATAGCTACAAAAGATTTAAAATATGTCAGTGAATAAACCTTCCGGTTTTTTTGCACCTAAACCAGGTCCACCTAATGATGATGGCTCAACATCGATCATAGTTGATTACATTCATTTTCCAGTGACAAAGACTGCTTTGGAGCTCTTTTCAGTGTTGCTGTGTGCTTGTTTTTCCAAGTGGTTAATATCAAGGCTACCAAGTGGGTGTTTTCGGTGTTTATAAAATGACCCATACCTGAAGCATCTGAAGAAGAAATTGTAAGATAAGCCAGAAACTGTGCCTCTTAAGATGGAATTTATGTATAGAAAAGGTTAGCTCAGAGAGTAAAGATTTTCCTTATTGTTTGTTTCTGACTGTAGAATTATAATGGATATTTTTTTATTCTGTGTTTCCTATTGACAACAGGCCATAGCATAGAGCAATTACTCACCCTGCTGGGCACTTACTCATGTAAGCACACTCTGTGCCTCTGATGGGACTGATACTCAAAGAAGATTCCCAGTACAAAAACTTTCATCTCCTTATAATAGGCACTGTAGTGTTTAGGAGTAGTTTTCATGTTAATAATTGTCAATCATCATGTATTCATAAAGAAAACTCAAAAAAAGAACTTATATCCAGTCTATAGTCACAATGAAAATGTTTAAGGTTTATTATGAATTAGCTATTTCTTCTTTGCGTGGTTTAGGATTGGATGTTTTTGGGGTTTTTTTTATGAGTGATCCCCTATTTTTCTGAAGTGTCAGTCTTGTGAGCTACTTATGAGGTATTGTACAGCATGAAAGGTAATAAAACAGAAAACTGCACTGAACTGTCTCTGAAACTAAAGGTGACTATTTTTTGTCTTCTTGCCTTGTGGATACTCTCAAAGTGGGTATTTTCCCTCAGCCTTAACTTGAAAAAGAGCCACAGTAATGTCACTTTCAGCTTTGGGTCTTTCTTCTTTACAGTTGTATGGATGGGTCTGAAAAACCCAGTCCTGCCTTGGCATCTCCTCACAACAAATTGAAGTTTGTGCTGTTTGTGCTGACAGAAGCGAGTCTCATATTACTAACAGACAATTTGCTAATTGTGATAGGAGTTGCTCCTCACTTGCAATAAAAGAAAATTCAGTGCAAGATAAATGCTGATGTGAAACCTGTGAATTCAGATTGCTGCAAAAAAGAAATGTGGGTGTCAGTGTGTCCATGAGCCAGGACTAAAATTTCAGCCCTGCCTTAGTAACTCTGGTAAAATAAACCAATGACCCAAAGGCTAATAATTTAGTCATTTGACTTCTGTATAGTATAAATAGTGAGGTGTTTGAGATTTGGTTTATAACAGTGTTATCTATCCAACATTCATTCAAAATATGATTCTTTATTATTTCACATCATGCAGGGTTTGGGTTTTTAAACTTAATTCAGGGCTTCATTATTTTACAATAAATAAGGCTTAAATCTGTGCAGCAAAGATGTAGATAAACCCACTATTTCCTCTGTTGCAGATCAAATCTGGTTTTGCTCCCTTTGTTCTGTCAGTAAGGGTAATCTTGTTGCGGATCCAACCATTTCTCCCACAGTGTACCCCTGCTTCCCTCGCACAGATCTGATATGCAGATTGCCTTTTTCTCCACTGTGATAAGCTGCTACAGTCTCTTTGTTCATTACTTCCTATTGATTGAAGTTCTCTGTGATACCAACAGGAAGCGAGTCTATTAGGACCATAATCTTCCAGCCTTTTGCACACCCCAACCTGCAAGGAAGTTGTTGGTTTGGGACAGAGATTTTTGCAAAGCTCTACGATTTCTATAACATGCAAGCTGAGCAGGAAGAAACTTGTTTTTCAAGGTCTCTTCCTAAAGACCTCACACAGAAAACTGCACAGAATACAATTTGTCTGGATTGGAAGGATGAAAGGCTGAGTCAATCCTGCTGGGAATTGAACCTCACATCTGTCTTCATGTGCCTCAGAATCACATCGCTTTCCTGGCTCTTATTGCAGATACATGTGGCATTTTGAATGGGACTCAGCTGAATGGATTCCTGGATGAAAGCTTTTTTTTTTAATTATTTTTCTTTTTTTCCTTATTTTTTTTTGTGGGTGTGCACACACCTGTGTCTTCCTTAATTCTTTTAAGCACAACCTGTACATACTAAGTCATCATCAAGAAAACAGCAAAGAAAAGGAAAAAATGGAAGAAAAGAAAGAAAACAAAACAAACCATTCCAAGTTAGGCTCCAGCCAGGGATCCTTCAACACGTGTGTCTGATCAAAAGCCAAACAACTTCTATGTCCAAGTCAGGGTACCATTCAGCAGATTCAGTGGAGGTGTTTCCCAAATGTCCTATAATTCCACCTGGTACAAATCTCTTGATTGTTTATTTTTTCTTCTTTCCTCTTTCTGTTTTTTTTTTTTTTTTTCTTTTTCCCTCCCTTTCAAGTGCTAACATGGAGATATTCTAGTGCAAAAGAGAATCTGCTTCTGTATGTTTAGGTTTGTCTGAGCTATTCAAAGTTGCAGTAGAACATGGGACAACGTGCCTTATCTCACTGTGATTTCAAGAGAACTGTGCTGATTTACTCCAGATGAGATTCCAGCTCCCTAACTGCCAGATGGGGGAAGCACACATACCAGGTGTCCTCCCCTGCTTGGATGTAATCTCTGAAAGAGTGCTAAATTTTTCATAAGATGTTCACTGTACAGATCCTGTCAGAATGAACAAATTAATGTTTTCAATCAGCTGAGAGATCTCAGCCAATTAATTCTGGGTCAGAATTCTACCCTCAGAAGTGCACAAGCAGAGTTACTCTTTAAGGTAGCAGGTGTTAGGTGCACACACTAGACATTTATGCTGATTCTCAGAAAACTGACCCCTGGCCATTTGTTTCATATTACTTTACTCCCCAACCAGGAAGACTACTGTTCTCATCTCTCATTTCTGCCCAGATCTGTCTAAGCACACCCTCAACTCCCCTATATGAGGAAAGGAAATGAAAAAGAGAAGAAAAGAAAATAGGGAGGAAGAACTTGATGAAAGGGAGAAAAGGAAAATCCAGTTGATATCTAAGAGATACAGGCATAAGACCAAGATGACTTCTGCATTAGATAGGGAAATTCCAGAAACAGCAACAGGAAATATGGAATTAGCCTCATACAAAAAAAATCATGGTATCAAGATGTATTAAAAGTCACTGAGGAAAGTGGCTTCTTGGCCTTCTTCCCACCTTTCCCCACAGCCATTCTGGAGCATGAAAGCACACTAGAGTTTTGTTCTAAATTTTCTGGGTCCTAGGAGAACCACCCTGGTTATTCTGCAGCTTCCACACAGAGGCCTAGCATGCAGTAGAACTGTGCAAATCTGTGGAGAAATACAGAGTACAAAATGTCTGAGCTGTGCTTTGGAGCAACCATGTGACATAGCACAGCAGTCCCTGAGGAAAGTTAGTAAGAGGTGGTCTGAGAATACGTTATTACCGGCTAGAATCTGCATACAGAATTTGCAACTTAGGTGAATAGGTTGTGAGTCAGGAATAAGTGTAGGTCATTACTTTAAAGTTACTTTTGGATTGGATCAGAGGCACAAAGATACCCTATGGACTTCTTTATTTTTGGGGAGAAATTTTTCTCGATCTTTCCTGAAGCCTTGAAACGCACGGACAATTATTATTTCAAATCTCATTTAAGCAGTTTTTATGTTCCCAACAGGAGATATTCTAGTCAATAGACTAACTAAAAATTTAAGCATTCAGTTTAAATGGTACTGAGTATCCAGTGGACAGTAATGGCTCCTGTTCCAAACTAACAGTTAGTAGTTTATAATTTTAAATGCAACTTCTTCCAACTCATTCAAGTGGTGATTTTTTGACGTGAATATGCTTCTAGCATGAAGGGTTACATTGAACTAAGCTTTTTGTGTCTGCCACAGTGTGTGACAAATAATAAAAATTAACAGAGCTACATTTTTCAAAATACTCAAATCAATAGTTCTATGCCACGAACTAACACTTTGCAAAAATCCTTAAAAAAAAACTTGCTCTGTGTACGTGACTCTACATACACAGCACAGACCACTTTGCATTGTTTCAAGATATCAGAGTAAAGCATCACAGGCTGCCTCTCTTAAAAACTTTTTAAACCAGATGATGTCAACTGCTCCTGCTAGTGGCAGAAGCAAAATTAACAAAGTAGTTGATGTGACATTGTCTATATACAGCAGCTCAATGCCAGACAACCTGGTGGACATGTGGTTATATGCATCGGATCTTCTTGAGACTTCTCCCACCTACTGTGCAAATCACAGTCTGGGGATACAGCAATAGATGAGTTACATGACTACAAGAGCTTTTACTAAAATTGGTAGAATTCTGCAGTTTTGATAAGAGCCATAACAGTGTGATTCCAGCAGCAGGAGCACTGGTCTATAAGGTATAAAGGTCTTTTGTTCATTGTTTCGATCAAGAGGTTCATGGAACATCCCCAAAAGGGACTGATCTCGGCTCCGTACTCTTACACTGCATAGGAAATTATGTGAATTCCACCGCCTTGGCACAAAATACGATGACTTCAGCTCTTTGCAGGGGTGTTTGGGGATTTCATCTGAACAGATTCGACAGATTGTAAGTCAAACCAATCCAAGAGAACCTGCCATCCTTTCCTCTAGTCCTCTGGAAAGCATAGTTGTCCCTGGTAGATTTGTACTTTGTAGACAGGAATGTTTTGGAATTACTCTTTGTCACTGCATCTTTGTGCACTGAAGTGTTTACAATGCAAACACTTTATATCCTTGATTACACAGCAGCATGGTGAATAGCTTTACAGTACTAATAAAAGAGGATGCTGATGCCAGAGTTGAATTGGAATTCTTTGCTTTGAATCTCATAGCAATTCATGCTGCAAGTGCTTTACTAACAAGCCACAGGTGAACTCTTCAGGAATGGATAAAACTGTGATCCTGGAGTGGTTTTGTGGCATTATACATTCATCCTACAGGGTACTGCATCTGTTATATAATTAGCTGTTCTTTTTTATAAATAGCCCAAAGTATGGCAGGCTGGTTTAACAGAAAAATGGAGGAAGAGAAAACATTAATGAGAAGTAATGAGGTGGCATAAGACAGTTAGTATGGGCAAAATATGAACATGTGTGCTGTGTCATTGAACTAAGCCCTGCTTAAAAGAAAAACAGGGTGGGAACCATAGAGACTAAATTCCTCTTTTCTTTTGCAGAACAGGCAGCACACAGGAGAGCTTCCCCAATTTGTTCTGCCAAAGTGCATCAGCACTACTCTGGAGGCTTTTAAGAGTGAAAACATATTTTTTTCCACCCCTTTGCTCCCCAGAGTGTTCAGTTTCTGGCTGGCTGTTAAGGCTTCCAACCAAGGTGCTAAACCATATCAATTGCAATGGCATTGCCTTTTTTCTTTTTCTTCCTTTTCATGGATATCTGCCCACTGGCTGCCTAGCAGTCCTCAGATGGTAATGGTATCTGAGCACTGCTGATCTGGGCCAGAAGAACATGTGAGACCCAGGGGGTTAAAGCCTTGGTATCCTATTAGCAATCCCACTGAGCTGGACCAGGATTGGGAACTCCTTGAATACAGAGTGTCCATCTTTCACTGAAACGAATGTGGGAAGTGATTTTAATGGGAGTTTTCTGTTGCTCAAATGAGTAGTGTTCAGGACAGGTAAATGACTGAGGGAAGACTGACAGATGAGACAACGCCAGAAACAGCTAGAGCTGTCACTATTGTCCTTTTGTGCTTCACGCTGATGGCTTTTTCTAAACATGCTGCAGCCTCCCTTTTTGGATTGCAATATTGTGGCCTCCCTGCATGGTATGCGAAGACTTTTAGAAGGGGTGTTTGCTGAGCCTGGTTAAACGAGCATTTGTTTTTAATCCAGAAGAAACAAAAAACATGCCTTTGGATATAGGTGTCCCTCAAGTACCGAGGAGGTGACAGGTGTGCGCCGTTCCAAGGTGCCCAAAAGGACTCTTTTATAATTATGTTTTTCTCAGTTGTTGCTGCAGACATAAGTGGCACTCTATGAAGTTTTCTGATGTTGACGAGATGTTGTTCTGTGTCACTGTTGCTCATGGTTCCCGGAATTCAGTTCCTTTCAGGTGTGGATGCCTGGTGCAAAATGTGCAGTGACGGAGGCCTGCCCTCAGAAATGCAAGACCTGGAACTGGCCATCCACCACCACCAGACCCTCTATGAGCAAGTAACACAGGCCTACACAGAGGTATGTGCTTCCCAGAGAAAATGTGAGTATCTGTTAAGTGATAACAGACATCTGACTGCATTTAGGAGCATAGCTTTTCTAAATGAGGTAGGTTCTGGTTTCCATTTCTGCAGCTCTTTCAAAGATGGAGTCAAACCTAATCCCAGGCTGTAGTAGGTGATTCCCAGCAATCTGCTTGTAAGGACAGAACAAAAGGACAAATCTGAGGGACAAACCCCATACAGAAATAAAATCTAGAACCAATGTTAGCACCCAAAGAAGAGCCATTTCACTGCCTTTGCTGAACTGGGAACCCTTTTAAGCCACCAGCAACTTTACTACTTTTGCTTTCCTCCTGTGCATGAGTCCAGGCTCTAGCAAGGGTATGCTGATGTCACAGAGCATGCCAAAGGCTTTTTCCTTTAATATCAAAGACATGTAAGGTCCTAAGTGCAATGAATGTTGCAAAAGACTGTGCTTTAGACAGAATCTAGAGTCATTTAGACTGAAAAAGATCCTTAAAATCATGAGTCCAACTGCTGGGCTAACACTACCAAGTCCACTACTAAATCCTGTCCCTAAGCACCATGTCAGATGTATTTGTATATAGTTGTAAAATACTTCCAACCTAAATAGGTATGCGATTTTTTTTCCTTTAAAAGAGGTTGGCAAGAATGCTAAGGCAAATTCTCTGGCATTTTGTCAAAAAAATCCACAATCCACATGAAGTTCTTTACTTGCTTTTTCCCCCCATTCAGGCTGCAGCATGAAATAAAAGCTACTGACAGTCAACACTCAGTGCCTTTGACTGTGCAGTCCAGGGTCTGTGTTTAGTCCATGTCATTTTGCAGAAGGGCTCCAGGACCTTCCTGGCATCTAGGAGAATCCTTTTAGGAATGAAACTAGTCTAGATGTTGATCCCAAACATTGACCAACCTGCAAATTACCCTGGCGGTAGGAATCCATATGTGTTATCTGTTGTATTCTGTTAAACATGTGTCCAGGACTCAGGTTTGTTGGAAAGTAAACCTCAAATTACCTGAACACTTGGGTTTATTTGCATTTCTCATTTCCCTGTATTGTGTTATGCTTGACTGTCTTTCTGACTATGAAGGGATTTTGCTCCTTGCAGTTTTCTAAGCTGGACTAGAGGACTGTGGCAGTGTTTGTTATACTTAGTAAGTCACCAAGTGAAGACTGCATAACAGAATATAGCATCTCTCCTACATGCCCAGCCCTTGTTCTGGTCATCGTGGCCTTGTAAGGATCTATAGTATAAAACAGAAGAGAAACTGATTTGCTCTTCTAGGCTTGGTGGTTGGCACTCACACATACACAGTGCAGTTGTGCAGGTACTTTGATGATAAATATAAGGAATGTTAGATACAAACCTCTTCTTTCCCAAATGCCTGCAAGAATTTGAGAGTTAGTCAATTGGAATGAGCAAGTCTAGGTTGCAGTGGCAATGGGTGCTTCCTTATTCAGTCCTTAGGCTTCTTGGGGACAGTGGATTGTGTGAGCAAAGACAGAACAGTCTTGTTGACCTCTAGTTGCAACTGTGAATTTCATACAAATGCCCAGTCAGGTGAAACTAAGTTTTTTAGGTTGCATTTAAAAATATTTCGAAAAACTATGTCATATTGGGATTAAATAAAAAATAATAATGTTTGGAACTGGCATTTTGTTTATAAGCCCCAATCTTAGATTTTGTGAAATCAAAATTTGTTTAAAATTCATTACCAAAAGCAACTGTTAACATCCATATTGCTTTTGCTGATGCTTCCTCAGAAAGCTATAATTAATCACAAGCACAGCTGTTTAAAACATCTCTATACTATTTTACTAATAAGTAAATTTTTAAATGGTATGTAGAATTGCCAGAAAGGTTATAGTCTTTCATTTCAGAAATGTTCATCCTTTTTCCCACAGATATGTGGTAAGGTGAAAAGTCTTAGGAGTCCTGCCTCCTATCCACATACCTATTCTCCAATCTATATAATGCCCCTTCTCATAGAAAACAATGTCTCTTCCCTCAGAGCTCTCTATGGTAGGATGAAAACTGTAGCATTTTCTTTCCTTTTCATTGTCATTGAAAACCCCTGTTTCTATTCTCCTGCAGTCACTGAAAATCTCTGTTTCTATTTCTATAATTCTGAAAGATTTGAAATAAGAGTAATCATTCCTTGAAATAACCATTTAATATGGATATTTAATAGGATACTAGCTAACATTTAATATGTTATGGGCCTATTATGTTCTCTTACAAAGTATAACAAAGCAGTTCGAATTCACTTCAGTAACCTAAGAGCCATCCAAAGAATCTTAGGAAGACTCTTTTTATCCATCTTGCCATAATTGTAGTCATAATTATTTGCCTTATTTCCTTTATTAAGCTTGAGTGAAGCTCGGAACTAGTGGAGGTGGAGATCATGGACGTGGTATGCAATTTACATCTAAGAAATCTCCTGCACTAAACCAAGCTGCTGGCAGAACAGGCCTTCTTCCTTTGAAGAACTTAGTTGTGACCTTGCTTTTGTTTTGGGTAGAGCAGGGCTGGAGGGAGAAGAGGCACACAAGGTATATGCATTTGGCAGCTTTCCCTCTTGCAAGGAGATCTCCTCTTGATTTCTGTAGCCAGGGTGTATTTATGTTGCTCCACCAGTGTTTCTTGTGGATGAGGAGACAAAATCTACTGAGGAGACAAAATCTATTGCAGACCTCTGCTGGGGTAAAGATAAGGTTAGGACGGAAAGAAAGGCTTTCTCCAGTTATGGTTGATGGTAAGAGCATCTTCTTCACTGTGCCATAACTGCTCTTCACTCTCTGTTCCTAAAGGCATGATACATTCACTCTAAACCCCCTTTTTTTTTTTTTCCCCAGTGCCAATCGTAGCTGTTTCACAGATGGCACTATTAGTCCAGCCACTTGCAAGGCTCTGGAACTCTTTCTTACCCTCTTTATGGAATATCTGCAGATTTTAACTTATTCCCTAGTTATGTATAGGGCATCCATGGAGATTATTCCACTAGCACAATAAAATCTATTTTTTACTTCACCCGAGGTCACATAACTTTTGCATTCTACCTATCCTTCTCCTACCATGAAACCAAAATGCAGGAATATCACCAGATGACAGGAGTGTATATGTGTGTTGTGTCAGGTAATGAACTAAATTTTCCCATGAAGTCCAGCAGCAATTCTATACTTTTCAAAATAAGTGAGAAAGTATCAAGTTTGCTTTGACAAATGCAACACTGGCACTTACACCTTACTGGGACTTCAAGTCATATGGGCTCCATTCAGCCTAAGACTTTTGCAGTGCTTAACAATACATCATTAGTGAGACGTAAGTGAAGTGATGTGACTAAGCCGGGTTGTTAGTGCTTGTCTCCTTGCACAGTCCTTGAAAAATTAAAAAAGATTCACATGAAAAGAGATTTGTTGATTTATTTTTGCAGTTACAAGGAGAAGGAAATGACTGCAAGAGCACAGTAGGTAGCTTCTCGATTTGTGAAGCTACTCCCTTCCTTTCTGAAATGTGTTCAATTGGAGAACTCTGAGAGCACAAATCTTCTGAACTTATTGATTGGGAATGCAGTAATATTCACAACAAAAATACTTTTGGAAAATAAAGTTTTTAAGCCAAAGAATTTCAGAGCTGCAGAAGATATGAAACCCTGGAATATGTATGTAATCCTTGTGAATACTGAGTACCACTGGTTACGTCATTGTCAGCGTGCTCCTTGCCGTATATTTAGTCTGGTATGACAGGAGAGGCATGTAAATTGGAGAGCACTGGAGCACTTCTAGTAGCCTCCAATTTGTATTAATGATTATTGGCAGGACAACAGAAGCCCTTAAAGTCTGGTTTTTATCTCCGGCTGTGCAGAGAATAACTGGAAGGCTATGCCCATCAGGGAAAAATCATAACTTGTAGTCTCTGAGGCTTTTTAAATAGACAGCAGAAACAAATTGCCATGCAAGAGATCAAAGCCTACATCCTGTAGAAGAGAAAGGAGTATGAGACAATGCAGAAGCTGTAGGTATTAATAGATCTATATTATGGCACAATCTTTCCAGGAAAGTTGTCCTGAGTAAAGCATGTCCGTCATATTTTCTATGCATTCTCTGCAGTCAGGGCAAACTTTTGAACCTGCATTGTTAGTCCCAATTCTGCTGTGATTGCTATTAGTGTAAATCAGCAGGGACTATACTAAAACTGTTGTACCACCACCCAGGGACTGATTCAGACCAACTGTAATCCCAGAGCCCAGTAACAGCAGCGTAGTGAACATAGACAGTGAATTTTAGCCAATGCAAAGAAGGAGTTTCTAATAAGCTGCACCCAAATGTGTCCATAGCCTTGGTTTCCTGTTCCCAGTGATTAAGTTGCTGCTGATTGTCTTCCCACAGATAAAATAGGATGTACTATGCCTTATCTCTTTGCCTGTCTGGAAGCTGCTTCTTCCTGAGTATCAGATAATACCATATCCATAATCTTGCCGAGGTAACACCTGTGCCTCAGTGTTTCCTCCTAAAGTCCTCCCTCATATCACCACTATCCACTATTGCTGTTCCCTCTGTGACCCCAGAAGGCACCAGCATGTGAAAATTGTTCCAGCTGATCTTCAGCAGCAACTGAATTTAGTAGGGAAAGCCACTCCCTATGGACTGGCCAGTTATTTCTGGATCTTATTTCAAATTGCCTTGAATATTTAAAAAAATCTACAAGGATTTGCCTAAGCCCACCCAACAGTCATAAATATGATGAGATTTGACTCCAGTTTTTGCCAGTATAAATCTCAAAGGGTCTCTTGATTTCTCTGAAAATGCACCAGTGCTGCAACAGACTGGGATGTGGCATGACTTGCCAAAAAATACCCAAAAAGTTTGGGTATTTAAGGATATTTGCTACATTTGAACAAGCAACTTACAATACAGAAACAAATGAGACTTGGCAATCCTTGAGATATGTTTTAACTTTGACTGATAATGTTCAAAATTTAAACTAGATGAAAAACATTCATTAATCTATTCCCTGGCAAGATTGGTAATTGTGATTGCATAGAAATAAAAACACTTTTCAGAAAATCTTGTCATTTTCATTGCAGTTTGTTTTAGAGGGAAAAGAAAAAATTGAACCAGGAAAAGGGAGGGATTCCAAGAGCGTCCTCATTCACCATTTCTGTTGAAAACAATATTTTAATTTTGTAACCTGCAACTGAAAAATATTTCAAAAAGCCATTTCTAGAGAACCAGTGCATGCACACACTTTTTAATAGCAATTTGGTTTTTATGGTTCCATTTTTCATATTGCCCCGCAATATGAAAATGCTCCAGGAATGTTCCAGGAAAAAATTCTGGCATAAAAAATCTGTCATTCTTTTTTTTTAAATTCCCAAATGCCTTTGCATCTGTAAATGTATTTTAATATTCTCAAAAAAGGTTACATGTGGCTGGCTTTGCATTAGCTAGCCAACTGTAGTCCTTTGAAAATGGAGACCATAGGTTCCTCTGAGCTATTCCTGAGGAAGAAAAGAATCACTGTCATATACTAATTTATTTTTCACTGCCACTAAATGAAAATAAATGAAATACAGAATCGAATGTCACACTTCTCGACGTATAGACATACTTAGTAATCCTTCGAAGAAAGGACTCTCCTTTATCATACAGAATATGAATGACTCTGCCATCTGTGGTTTTCTTAAAATGCCACCTCCTCACAGAAATAGGCCTGCTATTGCAAATACCACCTGTCACTAGCCAGGATATGTCAAAGATTTTCAGTGCCCGAGTGTCAGAATGTAACATAGCCTTGGGATGTGTGCGTGCAGTCCCAGCAGTGCAGTACCTCTGCTCCTGCTGAGTGACACAGCAGGCTCACTAGGAAGCAAAGGCAAGTGCTGAATGTGTAACTATAAGTCAAAAAGAGATGTGATGAGGTCTTTCTTCCTTTTTGACTTAAATAAGGAAAACACACAGGGGAAAAAGAATGAGCTAGAATGTTCTCTGTCGGCTACTGAATGTTTAAGTATCAGTGCAGTGAAGTAGACCTATTTCTTCACTCAGGTGAGCCAGGATGGAAAAGCCTTGCTGGATGTTCTACAGCGTCCCCTGAGCCCTGGGAATTCTGAATCCCTCACTGCTACTGCAAACTACTCCAAGGCTGTTCACCAGGTGTTGGATGTGGTACATGAAGTCCTGCATCACCAACGGCGCCTAGAAAGCATCTGGCAACACAGAAAGGTCCGGCTACATCAGAGGCTGCAGCTCTGTGTGTTCCAGCAGGATGTTCAACAGGTAATATCGCTACTAAAAGAGATAAAAAATGACCATTTCTTTTCAGCCCATAAAGATTGGTGACTCATCTAGAGGCTATTCCCATAACCGGGATTTCACAGGCAGCTCTGTGTATGCTAAAATCCTAATTCACCTTTCAGTACATCTCTGTTTCACGTTGACAATCATCAGTCAGTCCATTGATTATTGATCAGTCCATTCCCCATAAGAAATGCGACACTATTTTCAGAGTTCAGTTTTTCACAAGTGAGCAATTAGCTGTAGGTGCTCTACTGTTTCTGAGAAAGTGATGTTTAATAAAAAAAAAGAATTTCAAGTGTAAAAAGCCATTGAACTGTGGTGTATTTCACTTTCCTGCAAGGAAACAACATAGAAATTTTAGTGGTGGTGTTTAGAAGGTCTTTAGATGTTCCTCTGCTATGAGTTTGCTGGCTCCAATGAACTTCACACCCCAATGTTCCGATCCCATCTCACAGAGGTACAGTGTATAGGGTACAGGCTCACCTCTGAGAACTTAGGCTCCAGGTGAATAACTTTTTTCTCCCAGAGGAATCCATATGAATGGATAAGTGACAGTAGGTGTGAGATGCCATGTTTGTAGCTGCCTAATATGCAAGCACAATCAACAGATGTTACAGGGCTCTGCTCATTCAGGATGGTGTGGTTTGTTAATGGGCCCCATTACAGCCCGAAGCAGATGTTGGTGGCAATATGGTACTTGTTTAAATGAAGAGCCTGAACGCTGTAATCATGTTTATGGAGCATTCTAATGTCCCTGGGGTTCTTTATGTCATTGCCTTTCTCCAAGTGAAAAATGAGGCGGAGACAGAGCAACAAAATTGTCACAAGCAAAATAGACATGAACCAACAAGGAGAGGGGACAGGCAACTTTTATTCAACATGCAAATCTGAGGTCCTGTTAGTGGCACAATTGGAGTGCACCAGCACAACTGCAGCTGTAGATGTCCTTTGCAAATATGTATGACCATTTCTTTGGCAGTCTTGAAAAGTTTGCCATTATTTCTACCTGCCTAATTTTTCCTCTAAACCCACAAAAATATTCATGCTGTATATATATATAACTAAAACTGGGACTGAATGTAGTGAATGCTTAATTTAAGCAACTTTGCTTTCATTATATGTCAGCAAACATGCTGCATGGTAATGAAATTCATAAGCTATATATTGAATAGGGAATGTACTTGGAATTCAGTTAGAATACTTTCAGCAAACTATACAAAGTTAATACAGTTTTAGGGTTACAATCACAAAAATCAAGGGTTGTAAATTCTGATGGTTTTGTGATTTTTCTAATTGTGGTATATAATGTCAATAAGAATCCATATTATCTTAGATATTTTTCATTCCCTAGGGTGATTTACACTTTTTTTTCACTCTTTCCAAACCAAAACTTTCTCTCTTACATCTTCTGAATTCAGTAGAAGTGTTTATGAGATTCATTCATAAAACCCAGACTTTTACTCTCCACATATACAAGGCAATGAGGCTGTGTCACTGGGTTTCAGAAGGAACAGGTCTTTTGTATGTACTGTGACTTTTGGTGAGAGGAAAAGAAAGAAGCAGTAAGAGTCACTGGAGCACCATTGCTTTAGAGAGCAATACTCTGTGTGAGTTCTGTTGGCAACAGTCTTTCCAAATTTTTCTCTTAATGGGTAGTTATTATCTGGGAAGCAACAACTTAATGACAGACGTCTTTCCATCCTAGCACACACTGGAGGCATCTCTTTGTCCTACTTAGAAAGTAGAGAGGAAGAGATGAATCATTCTGTTCACTAAACATCTGTACTATTCAAGATAAATGCTTTGTAACTCATAAATGAAATTATCAGCTAAATGTGAAATATGAATTGTAGATTCCGTGAGGAGGAGGAAGATATCTGAGGATGTTGATGAGGGCTTTGAAAATAAACACCTGTATATTTGTCGTGCAATTCCTATTATGCTTATTTTGTTAAATGCCCATCAGTTGGCAGATGAAGCTCTCTACCTGTATGTTTTCACTAAAGATATGCAGCATTTATCTGTAATAATTTCTTGACATGTCAAAATTTAATAACCTTAACTGAGTTCTTCCTGGTTCAAGTCTAAAATGAAAATATGTGGGAGAACAAATCGTGACAGGAGAGCTTAGAGTTTATTAGAATTTGCTGTCTTCTAGACAGGTAATGATACAGTGAAGTTTCTCTAAGGAAAATACTCCCCTTTCCACCCAGCTCAAAATTAAATGTGTTCTCAGAGATGCAGTCTTCCCTGTCAGGATGTCTCGTGGCTCACCCTCTCCAGCTGTTGGCTAGTACAGTAAAAATTCTGGTGAAAGATGATCTCTCTGTCAGAACTTTCACTCCCTCACTTGTTCATCTATACCTTTCTCTTCATGTCACCTGTTCTGTGTCAATCTTATTTTAAAAGTGGATGTGAATAAGGACAGGTTTTGTTGTTTTGCACGTTCTTAATACAGACTCAAATATTGTTTTGCATCCTCTCAGTCTGCTATTAATAGCTATTAATAGCTTTTGGGAAAGACACATCTCCAAGAAGAGATTCTTATGGATCCTGAGAGATCAATAATTCCTCATCTAGCTACTCTAGTTAGTCTTGCCAGAGGGATCAAGTATTTGGGCATCAATATCAAGTGTTCACATAGAGGCCTTGCAAAACTAATTAGCTGGATGAAGGCTTTATGTAGGCCAAGTGTGTGCCATTTGGACTGGATTTAAGGGTTAAGATATGTTAAACAGGGCTCATTCATATAATTCCTGGTGTACTCTGCACCGTTTGCAAGGCCAGACTACATGCTGTACGTACTAATGGCAGGTCAGGGCTGTGTTCTCAGATAGTTTCACACTGTAAAGGAGATACTTCTGATTCTAGCTGGGTTTTAGTTTGAACTGCACAAAATCCTTACAGTCACAGCACAATCAAAATACATGTTTTGCTGTAGAAAAAACCCAGTGTAAACACTATGGATTGCTAGGTTACAATATTAATGTAAGAAATGTTATGCTGTAAAATATCATTAGAAATAACCATTACTTCACACCATCAGACATTTTACAAGACTGTTTGCTGTTAAATCTATGTATTAATACAATGACATCCATTTGCACATGTGAACCAAGGTAAATAATGGAGTGTGAAGGACACTGAGTAATGAATATACAGTGTTTTAAAGAAGGAAAGAAAATAAATGGCGTGAAACTGCATTTGCAGCCTTTACAGGAAGTGGAGCACCATTCACACAAAAGCAATAGCAGTTAAGACAATTTGTGAGCTGTTATGAGGCTCTACACAGGCAGGAACTGACAAGGAACTCTTTTAACACTAAAAGTATTTAGGATCATTATAAAAATGTTGTGTTGCTAAGTGTGTAAAATACTTCATTGCTTCAGTTGCTTTTTAGTAGTTCTAGGGTTTAGGATAGGGAAGAGCTACAGTGTTTGATCCTTTTAGAACCCAGCTGTGGGAAGAGGTGATGAGATTCTGTCCTGCAGGCGAGGAAAAAAAATCCCTTTGGCATTCACACTGGTATTTTGTAATTGCTGCAGATTCTTCAATTTTTGTTACCTTTTCCCTTTTGCCTCTCTCTGCTCTGGGTCTTCCCCTTCTGCAGACGATTTACCAGCAAATTAACACCATTTCCATCGCTGTTGAGATTTGAAATTGCTCTTGTGTAGGCTCAAATTTCCACTGCTTTGCACTGTTAGATTCTGATTTATCCTGCCAGCCTCTGCATGCATCTCTCCATGCATCTAATATGTTCCCTTTGCCCCCATGAACATCAACACTCTGAAACAGCAAGAGTAGGATAAGGGTTGTACCACGAGCAGATGTTCCCATGCAGCCTTTGAAAGAGGTGAAGTAAGTTTATAAGGCTGTTCTCCACCTCATTGCCTCCCCCATCCCATTTGTTTCATATGGGCAAGATTTTCATCTGAATTCTCTACTTTATAAGAAACTCATTCAAGAGAAGTTGTAATGCCTGAAGCATAGCTGTTAAAATAGAAGGAAAATGGAGACCCATTAGATGCATTATTGAAATGGTCTGGGCAAACCTTGAACTTGGTATTTTAACACACTTTCATGGCAGAATAGTCAAAGTGCTACTCTCATTCTACAGGCCTTATGGCTTCCAACAGAAATTCTCGGTTCTTTCTGTCATTTCCATACATACATACAACACACAGCCTGGCACAGACAGCCTGTTTCTCCACAGACTCACATAATTGTCCCAAGGTCATGGCTGGTGCTACTTTCTTCTTGCTTCACTTCGGTTGTGTTGGCTGCCTGTAAAGGAAGAGCTGAAAAATAGGTGGATGTAGAGGTACTGCGTGGGGGGTTTCTTGGCTATGTACACAGTGCTGAGGAAGCTGTGGTGGCTCTGCATGGCAAAATGGAACAGGCCCATCATGCCAGATGAAGACCAGTGGCAAACAGCAAGATGACACTAACAAACAAGAGGGTAGGGGTACTAAGAGAGCTAGGACTGTTGCCTTACCAGCTGTAGCGCTGTCTGAAATCCTCTTGGTTATTGAAAAGATCAGGCTGGACTAGTGTCAGGTTCATCTGATTTCTCTAAATTTGGGGATTTGCCTTCTGTTGGCTTCATGCCCAGATACATTAATGGACATAGTTTTGGTTCCCTTGCGTGGTTATCCGCCTCTGGTGATGGATAAAAAGGCCATGTGGCCATTCTGATAACATTACATTTACCAGCTGCCATTGTTGTGGGAGACTGCAGAGTATTGCAGAGGAAAGGCTGTCTCTCTTCATAACCAAGCACTTTAACTTGTAACGTGTCTGGCTTTTACTGGCAGAGAAAACAGATCAGGGCATGATTCCGACATAATTTGTACGGAAAAGTGTCCTGACAATGTCTATCTGTCTCCATACACTATCTGAGAATGCTGAACACTTCATGTGATACATGTGATCTATGTAGTTCATTTGCAGAAGAATGCTAGGGTACTTGAGGCAGTTCA